AAATAAATAGAAGATAATGCCATGGGGAGGGGGGCGATGATAACATCTTCAATGACTCAAGGGGGCGTTTCTTTCAAAAAGGTTAAGAACCACTGTTTTAAATAACCACAAGCAATTCATTAGTGTATTACTGATTGTCACCATTTTCCCTTCCATTTCCCCCTACTGTATCCCTTACTGTAGCTCATAACCCCTCTAGTATCCCATCATTAAAGCTAGATGCGCATTGATTGCACATTAACAAAGTAATAACCCTAGAGCAACCATTCTCACTGTGAGCTATATGGCCCCTTGAGGGGGCATTGGCACATTTGAAGGCGGCCACAGAGTGCAAACAATTCTTCACATACCACTTTATAAGGTTCATTATGGCACTGATGCAGTCCTGATTTAGCCTATATTTCTTTCATATTGTGTTTATGGTTGTGGCCCAAAAAAAGGTGAGAATAGCTGCTCTAGAGCAGATGTAAGCATCTACTTTTGTTCTTCTTTCTGTTATAGACCCCCCCGTGATCCACAAAGCAGAACAATGGTTTCCTTGTTCATAAAGCAGAAGAACTTGCATCCAGTTCCTTCTCTTACCTTCTGTTCTGGGTGGATAACAACAGTAGTATCACTCAGATAAGCATGTAGTGACTTGACACCACTACTGTTCAGGTTTAATATTAAGGCGAATGTATCATGAATAAAATCCTTGGCCAGGAGCACACTGCATTTGGAGGTCAAGCTGTACATCTCCCCATCAAATGTCCTCAGGTGCTTATACCCCATCAACAAGGCATGGTCTGGGATGATGCAAAAACGAGTGTCACTTAATCAGTCACCAAACAGTTCTTAAACTGTGTAGCAGCTACACTGAAGCCCCATGAGCTGTAGAAGTTCACATATGAGCAGGACCTCATGCATAGGCTTCCAGGAACTTGCCTTGCATACAAACACAAGTGGATGGTCACATACTCTTACTAGCGGGGGTGGGGGGGTTCCTACTGCCTGTTGCAAGCATGAGGAATATCTTTTGGTACAAGGGCCAAATTCAATTTTCATGATATTCTCAGGGACCAAAGGCAAAAGGGAGAGACCAATAACTCCAGCATATTTTAGTTTACTGAGGTTCTCCAACCCCGGGTGATTGGATATTTCCTTCTGGATTAAGAAGACACAGAAACAAATTGAAGGCTGTTCAACAAATTCAGCTATTTCACTTACACTCAAATGGGGTCTCCATGAGGGCCTGCTTGGCTCTGTAATATTCTGCCATCAGGTTGATGTTGTACAGCCTACGGAAGGGCTTCATAAGTTTCTCTTCAATTAAGTAGTTTGTAAGGCTTGTCACATACAGCGTGGGCTTTCCTTCAGGCATCACCGGTAAGGTCACAATCAAGGAGCAGTTTCTGCAAGACAGTCATCGTAAATTAACTAAGAGGCAAGGGTAGCCATGCAAAGAAACCCACAAAATGTGCTACTCTGTTTCCCTGAAAATAAGATCTAACCTGAAAATAAGCCCTAGTATGATTTCTCAGGATGCTCGTAATATAAGCCCTACCCCAAAAATAAGCCCCAGTTAAGAGAAACACCACCCTCCACCATCGTGCAGCAACCAGAAGATGACAGAATAGTATTTGAATAAATGTAGATGGCTGTGCATGAAAAAAGAGAACATCCCCTGAAAATAAACCTTAATGTGTTTTTTAGAACAAAAATCAATATAAGGCCCTCTCTTATTTTTGGGGAAACACGGTAGCACCAAAACTATTTGCTAGGCTGCTAACATGCTAGTATAGGGCATTTAGTGTGGTTGTAAACCACCTGGTAACCAGAGTTTTCTGGCCTTTTGTGCAACTTTATACATGCAACCCAGGTGATCGCAGATCATAGAATAATTTGAGTTGGAAGAGGCCTGTAAGGCCATTGAGTCCAACCCCCTGCGCAAGGCAGGAATCCAAATCAAAGCAGATCTGACAGATGGTTGTCCAATTTTCTTTTGAATGCCTCCTCCACCACCCAAGTTAATGGATTCCATTGTCATGCTACTCTAACAGTTAAGAGAATTTTCCTGATATTCAGCCTAAATCTGACTTCCTGTAACTTGAGCCCATTATTACATGTCCTGCACTCTAGGATGACTGAGAACTGATTCTGCCTCTCCTCTGTGTGACTACCTTTCATGTCATCAACCACAAGTTGCCTATTCTCCCTGTCATGTTTATGGATTCTTATAGATTACTTTCATCCTGGAGAAGCCTTTGGTAGCTGCAGAAGGGGGGGGGTCTCTTTCAGTCCAAAAAATTTACTTTTGCCAAGGAGTGTGAACACTGGATCATGTAAAACTAGAAGAAAACAAATAGGAAAATGCAAAGACCTTAGTGTGGTAAAGCAACAGTTTTCTCCACCTGGTACCAGGGCCTCAAACGAGAGGTGCCAAGTGAGCTTCTTTGCAGAGGGTGTTCCACAAAACAGGGGCCACCAGGAAATAAAATCTATCTCAAGGTATGAGTATACAGCAAGGGTAATGCAGTTCACTTGCATTCACTTGCTGTGAAGTCATCCTGAGGAATCTGGGTCTGCTCTCTTTAAGTGGCCACCCAGGGAGACAGGAGAGAAGTCCCGCTTGCATCTTGTTTGCAGTTCTATCGAAGTGCCTGCAGGAAGTGCAGAACAAAGGAGCTCCTTTACAGGCTATAGACAGTCTTTCCCTCTGTGGTTTCCTCCTCTGATTAGCTCTTTTAATTTTTGTGTTTAGGTGTTCTAGCACAGTGGTTCCCAACACTGAGTTCCAGATGTTCTTGAACTGCAACTCCCAGGTCTGTGTGTCAGACAGGGTACTTCTGTGTGTCAGAGTACCAACCTGATAGGTTCAGGTGTCTGTTGGTTAGCCAGAACTGATAGGTTCAGGGTCTGTGCTTCAAGTTAAGGGTTCTGGGTGAACCAAACTGTATGCTTGTATGAGTGAGAATAAGCCACGTTACTTTATCCTATTCACCTGATTGTTTATTTACCCTGT